AATTTTTTTTTGTTACATTTGTTTTTTTTTGTTTTGGACCTAAAATTCAAAACGTCCAACTTATAATTGTAATTTGTGTAAAAGTCATAAGTTTGAGCTTAAAATCATGTTTTCATATGTTTAATGCAATTTTTAAAAAAATATTATATAAAATTTTAATTATAGTGGATTAATATGTTTTAAAAACATTAAATAGCCCTTAAACTAGTCCCCAATTAATCTTTGTATAATCTCCGATATTCTCACCGCCTGACTAGCGCCCAGCGATTTTTTTAAGACAGTTTTTTGTTTTGTCATCATTTTTTGGAACATGGCTTATACGTATGCCTTGAGGATATTTAACATATTTAAATTCAAATCAAATAGTTTTTATATGCATTAAGAATTTGATACATATTAATTTTTTATTTGTTTTTGAATGATGAGGTATCAATCTTTGAGAGATCCGGTAACACCCAGTTTCAGGAATATGGTGGTGCATGCGGAGAGGTTTAAAAGAATTGATTTCGCCACCTATGTCACCAAAGTGCACTTATCTTTTCGGTTAAATGTCCTCAGAGAACTCCACAGTTAAGCGTGCTTGAGATGGAGCAATTTTAGGATGGGTGACCTTCCGAGAAGTGATTGTCGGAACTATGTGAGTGAGGACAAAACACATAGAAAGATCATGTGGTGATTTGTAGGGTCGGTAACAACTCTTTAAAGCCTCCCGGACGTAGCGAACCGACCGCCAGATACGGATGGGCCCACGGGCCGAGAGAGGATGTGGAACCCATTAAGAAAGGTGGTGGTCGCGGCGTTACAAGTGGTATCAGAGTCGAACCCAGATGAGTGTGAAGTCAAGATGGCTCACACCGTAGGGGGTGACGGTCTTGGTGCGCAACGAGGACGTTACGATTTGTTAGTGGGGGTGAATTGTAACACCCCAGTTTCAGGAATATGGTAGTGCATGCGGAGAGATTTAAAATAATTGATTTGGCCACCTATGTCAACAAAGTGCACTTATCTTTTCGGTCAACTGTCGTGAGAGAACTCCACAGTTAAGCGTGCTTGAGATGGAGCAATTTCAGGATGGGTGACCTTTTGGAAAGTGATTGTCGGAACTGTGTGAGTGAGGACAAAACACAAAGAAAGAACATGTGGTAATTTGCCGGATCGGTAACAAGTCTTTAAAGCCTCCCGGACCGCCAGATACGGGTGAGCCCACGGGCCGAGAGAGAACGTGGAGCCCATTAAAAAAGGTGGCGGTCGGGACGTTACAGATCTTTCATCTATTATTACATATAGGATTTATAGTTGTCAAAAAAAATACATATAGGATTTATCAATTAGTTTTTTTCCTCAATATATATACTTATCTAAATGTATAGATTATTATGCTTATTAGTTAATTCTAATGTTTATATAGATAATATTTTTTTAGATCAAATTTATATTAAACAATAATTGAAAAATATCAAAGACAGTTGCCAAAACTTTATAGTAGTGACCGGAAAACGGGAATTCAGGACAGACTTCTATGGAAACGGGAATGAAAATTTTGGGAACTAAAAAACATGTCCCATTTATATCTCATTTGAATTTTGGAATGGAATCGGGATGTAATTGATTTCCAAAAGAAAAAATTGTTTTAGAATATACCACATTTAGAATAAAAAAATGTTAAAGTATGCTTTATATAGTCAAAACTTATAAAACAAAAATATAATCCACTGTATATAAACTTGACATAAAGTAACACAATCCAATAAGAATAAAAAAAAAAAAAGACAATTAATTTAATAATATTTTTATTATTTAATATGATATAACAAAAATATAAGTATACTATGAATATATATATATAAAAAATTTATTTGACATAATCAAGTTTTCTCTCACATACGGTTATCGAGAAGTTAACGAGATCCAATTTTTCTGACGCCGGTGAAGCCTCCCCTTTCTCGACCTCCTTGCTATCTCTCTCAATTGCCCTACAACTTTCCCTCTTTCTGCCAATCTAAGACACTTCAGAGAGTGACAAGGCACATAGATGGATTCCGGTGAACCGTTTCTCCCTCAATCTGCTCACTCCTTAGTTTCTGAAGACGGTAAAAGTGGTTTTCTTCGAATCCAATTGTGCTCTAAAATCTGAATCTGAGATCAGTCTCAAGTCCTCATCTAGATTCCTGGAGTTTAGATGTTTTGCGATCCTCATCGATTACAAGCCTCACCGTATCTCTCAGCCAGCGACGTCTGAAGTGGCGATGAAGCTGACGGCAGAAGAACTGTTAACTTCTGAACTAACATTGTTTCGCGTCATGTTGAAATCGGATCATTTATATTAGTTTAGGTTTTGATTTTGAATTATTTTTGGGTTTGGGTTGAAATCGACTGGGGTCATAGTTTGGGTTGGAAAAACCCGCCAGCAAATAGTTGAGGTTGAAAAAGACCGTTTTCCCATCTATCTATCTATGTTGTTAGCTTCTCTTCTTTGAAGATTATTATACTCTTTTTCATGCTTGAAGATCTTGTAAACTTTGCCCCAATTGATTGATTGAATGAAATACAAGTCTTGTTCGACCAAAAAAAAAGTATACTATAGATATATATAATTATTTATATAATAATTTTTCCAAACAAAACTTCAGAAATTCTTATTCATGTCATGTTCTGAATTGGGAATGCAAAACTTGTCCTATATCAGGAATGCTTTATAACGGAAATTGAGAAACAAGTACATGGCAAAAATAGAATTTGAACATAGGGCAATGAGGTCAACATTGACATTAAAAACAAAAATTATCAACAAATAGCAAATAATTAAGCCAAACATAAATAATTTATATTTTCTATGAGTAAACTATATTCGAATTTTTTAGAGAGTGTGGTTAGTGGTTAAGACTTTTACCTACCAAAAACGTAAGAATTTTGAAGGTTTCACAGGTTTGATTCGTGTTATGAAGAGTTTGCTCTAAAAAAAAAAAAATTACATAGTTTGGGCATTGCTTTGGAGATGTGTGTATCATGAACCTTCTAGTTATTTAAAAGGTAAAACTTTTATAAAACTTCTAATTTCTCATAATAAATATCTTTTTTATATAACAATAAATATTTTTTTTTGTTACTTTACACCAATGTCTAATCTTTAGTAATTAATATATTCAAACGCTTATACATGTCCAGAAAAATATAATCTCATTCCTCCAAAAAATATCAAAGCATACTCGCCACTCTAACCATTTTAGTGACAACTGCACTTACAAAAACATCTGTTTTAGCAAAGTCTAACACTCAACCGCGTTTTAATTCAAGTGTTACGTTATGAACCCAAAAGAAATAAAACAACTCGTGATTGGGAAATAAATATAAATAAATTAAACTCGTGATATCACCAAATTTCATCGGCAACGGACAAATTGCAATAAATCAAATTTAAAAAATGGTTTTCATGGTCAACCGATACGCCGAAACTCGGCAAGAAAAACACCAACTTGACTACTTAACCACCTCTCTCTTAAATTTATTATTTTCCATTATTACGTAACTGCTTCTTCATTTTTCTTTATATATTGCTTTGAGATATTAGACAATAATTATTGTTAACATAAGTATGATTAGTTATGACTAATGTCATTTCATATTAATAATTAGATGTCTTTATTTGAAGACTTTTGCTTTTGTTTGCTTCTGTAGAATCTGTTGAAAAGGAATTTCAACATCACAGAACAAAAGAGAAGCTCTCAAAAGCTGGCATTATCCTTTTCTTCCTTCACCTTCTCTTTGCGCGTTTTTTCTTTTCTTATTATTATATGTATACATGCCTACTTATTTATTTATTAGATTATAATATTATATTCAAATTTGAGAGAGAGTGAAATATTGTTGGGTCAAATTATTAGAAATTATGGTTTAAGGAAAGCATCTATCAAAACATTTATAAATCGTAGATGATACATTAAATTTAGGTAATCTCTTACAACTTTCATAATAATATTAATGGGGATTGGGGAATATAATATGTGCTGGAGATGATATGAAAAGTAAACAAAGTGAGGCCACAAGACCTTTCGGTGAAGACATCTTTATAGAATCAACACTTCCTAATTTAGGTGAGATATATAAATATATACTCATACAACTAATCACATGCATTTCATAATAATATATAAAACCATATTTATTAGAAAATAAAAGAAGGTCAAGTATAATTCAATTAAAAGAGATGAGATACCAATTATTCAATTATAATTTAATACGAAAATATCTATTTTTCCCTAAAATTTAAAAAGAATATAAAAATCCATCATAAATCCAAAAAATAACTATGTTTTAAAATAAATATAACAAAACATTTAATCAGTTTCTTAACTCAAGTGAAAATTATATGAACGATACATATTAGGAAGGGCAAAAAAAAACTACAACCGTAAAAAGTAAAAACTAAGGCGAACCAATACAAATTTTATGTATAATTAGTAAGTTTTATTTTAAATCGAACCAATCAAATCAAAAACTTTTGGTAGAAGTTTTTTTTAATCAACCGCACATTAATTAAAAATCAACTAATAAAAGTCTAAATGATCGAAGTAAACAATCTATTTTAAAATTATATAAACGAGAAATAGAAAAAATTAAAAAACAAAAAATATAACACTAAATATATAATTTTAATATATAAATTTTAATTTAAACAACAACAAAAAACGAAAACTAAACCGAACTGAAACTTGAATCAACCAAAACCAAACAGAAATACATATGATTTTATATAAGTTTCAGTATTCAATATACCAAAACACCGCAATAACAACTAAATCAGATTGTCCACACCTAATTTACATTAGAACAGAGTGATTGTATGGGAATATGTGAAATTGTCAAATTGATAATTATAACTTTTTGAAAGAACAAATTTTGAAATACAAAAAAAAAGATAGGCTTGAGCTGTGAATTAGCTGTCTCTCTTTCATTTATATTCCAACCCTCTCTCAGTCTATCTCCTTCCACACAACATAACACAAACCTCTATCTCTTCCTCAATCTTCATATCTCAAAAATCCTCCATAAAACTATTATTATACAATCTACATTTCCCATTTTACCCTCGCTTCTCCTTCAAATTCTCACCCCATTGCCACTTCACTCAGATGTCTTGTGCACTGAAATGAAGAACACGATTCAAATCCTCCTCCTCTTCTTCTTCTTCCTCTTCATCAATCTCACCAACTCTTTCTCTCACGGCGGTGTTCTCTCCGATAACGAAGTCCGTCACATTCAACGCCGTCAATTACTCGAATTCGCCGAACGAAGCGTCAAAATCACCGTTGATCCTTCTCTAATCTTCGAGAATCCGAGATTAAGAAATGCTTATATAGCTTTACAAGCTTGGAAACAAGCGATTCTCTCTGATCCAAACAATTTCACTTCGAATTGGATCGGATCCAATGTCTGTAACTACACCGGAGTTTTCTGTTCTCAGGCGCTTGATAATCGGAAGATCCGTACCGTCGCCGGAATCGATCTCAATCACGCCGATATCGCTGGTTATTTACCTGAAGAGCTTGGTTTGTTATCAGATCTCGCTTTGTTTCATGTTAATTCAAACCGGTTTTGTGGTACTGTACCACACCGGTTTAACCGGCTTAAGCTACTTTTCGAGCTTGATCTTAGTAACAACCGGTTCGCCGGGAAATTCCCGACGGTTGTCTTGCAATTACCGTCGTTGAAGTTTTTGGATCTCCGGTTTAATGAATTTGAAGGAACTGTACCGAAAGAGCTTTTTAGTAAAGATCTTGACGCGATTTTTATAAACCATAACCGGTTCCGGTTTGAGTTACCGGAGAATTTCGGTGATTCGCCGGTTTCGGTTATTGTTTTGGCGAATAACCGGTTCCATGGTTGTGTACCTTCGAGTTTGGTGGAGATGAAGAATCTTAACGAGATCATCTTTATGAACAATGGTCTTAATTCTTGTTTACCGTCTGATATCGGACGGTTAAAGAGCGTGACGGTGTTTGACGTTAGTTTTAACGAACTTGTTGGGCCGTTACCGGAGAGTGTTGGTGAGATGGTTTCGGTGGAGCAGCTTAATGTGGCGCATAATAAGTTGTCGGGGAATATTCCGGCGAGTATTTGTCAGTTACCGAAGCTTGAGAACTTCACTTATAGTTACAATTTCTTTACTGGAGAAGCGCCTGTGTGTTTGAGGTTGCCGGAGTTTGATGATCGGAGAAATTGTTTGCCGGGAAGACCTGCTCAGAGGTCGCCAGGGCAATGTAAAGCTTTCTTGTCTCGTCCTCCGGTGAATTGTGGATCGTTTAGTTGTGGTCGTTCTGTTTCGCCTCGTCCTCCGGTGGTTGTAACGCCGTTACCACCGCCTTCTTTGCCATCTCCACCACCGTCGCCAATTTTCTCAACACCTCCTACGCTTTCTTCGCCTCCACCTCCACCTCCTCCGGTTAACTCTCCGCCACCTCCTTCACCGCCTCCGCCTGTTTATTCTCCTCCTCCTCCACCGCCAGTTTATTCTCCACCACCACCCCCACCGCCTCCTCCGCCAGTATATTCTCCTCCACAACCACCACCAGTCTATTCTCCTCCACCACCACCACCGCCCCCACCTCCGCCGGTCTACTCTCCTCCACCTCCTCCGCCTTCTCCAGCACCAACTCCAGTTTATTGCACCCGTCCACCACCACCACCTCCTCATTCGCCGCCACCACCACCACAGTTTTCTCCCCCACCACCTGAACCTTACTACTATAGCTCACCACCACCACCGCATTATTCACCGCCGCCGCATTCACCTCCACCACCACATTCACCTCCCCCACCAATTTATCCGTATCTGTCTCCACCGCCCCCACCAACACCAGTTTACTCTCCACCACCCACTCCGGTCTATTCCCCTCCTCCCCCACCTCCTTGTATAGAACAACCACCGCCACCACCTCCACCGTGTATAGAGTATTCACCTCCTCCACCAGTCGTTCATTATAGCTCTCCGCCTCCACCGCCAGTCTACTACAGCTCTCCGCCACCTCCAACAGTCTATTACAGCTCTCCACCTCCGCCACCTCCAACAGTCTATTACAGCTCTCCACCTCCGCCACCGCCGGTTCATTACAGCTCACCCCCACCACCGGAAGTCCATTACAATTCTCCGCCGCCACCTCCAGTACACCACAGCTCTCCACCGCCTCCACCATCAGCTCCATGTGAAGATTCTCCTCCACCAGCACCGATAGTTCATCACAGTCCACCACCGCCGATAGTTCATCACAGTCCACCACCGCCGATAGTTCACCACAGTCCACCACCTCCGGTAATCCACCAAAGCCCACCACCGCCGTCTCCTGAATATGAAGGACCACTACCACCGGTCATCGGAGTATCATACGCGTCTCCTCCACCACCGCCGTTCTATTGATTCTTTTGAGAAACACGAGACTGAAACGATGACGTGGCACGAATCCTAAACAGATTGAAACACTATACGACGTAGTTGGTCAATTCTTACACAAGAGAAAATTATTTTGTGAAAAAAAAAATTATAAGAGCAAGAGAAATGGCTGATTAAAAAGTTTATTGTATAGAGGATGGGTCTCTTTTGTGTTTTCTATTAATTTTATTTTTTTCCCTCTTTTATTTGGATTTCGTAGCACATTATTCGTTTTAGATTTTGTATTTTATATATGAGAAGAGCTTAGGCTATACATTTTTTTTCGTTCATTATCATATCCTTCTTTAATTTCACAAAATACAATTTCCAAATTACACCAAACAAATATGCTTATAAATTTAAAGAAATAAGATTTGGGTCCAAAGCAAGTTTTGTCTGAAAATAAAGTTGGAAAAGTTATGTCTGAAAATAAAGTTGGAAACAGTTGCAAATGAAAGTGACTCGTCAAAGCCTGTTGGAGAAAAAGAGCAAAATACAATTACTCCTAAAACAAGGAAGCAACTTGGAACGCTCCGTTTTGATTCGATGACAGAACAAAAGAAGACGTAAAGATGTATGTCGCAATCGCGAATTTACGCGGAAAATAAAGAGTTATGAAAAGAGTTGGGACCAAACTAGGAAAAAATAAACTTTAATAATAAATAGCATGGAAATAAAGAACCTTGATTGGCGCTAAAAATTTTGATTACAGTAAAACTTCTATAAATTAATAAGGTTGAGAATGTAATATTTTATTAATTTATAAATATTTTATTAATTTATAGTGATACTTATTTATCTACAAATTAATATTTATTAATTTATAGTGTAAATTAATATTTATTAATTTATAGAAAGTTTTGTTTTAATTTTTAAAATTGTTTTTTAAAAATATTAGAAAAACAATGTGATCTAAATAAAATTAATGTTTTGGATGTTATAAATTTTATAGTTTTAGACTTAAACATTTAATATTTCAAAGAGAAAACAATTTTTCTTTTGACAATGAATAACAAAGATTATAGAATTTACATATATAAACGATATTCATAAACTAAAATTTATAAATAATGACATCTATAGTTGTATTTGTTAAACCTATACGACTATTAAAACAAAAATAATGCATATTCAAAATTTGAAAACTAAGAGTAAATTTTGGCTATTTTTATGAAAAACACTAATATATATATATATATATATATATATATATATATATGATTATTAATTTTTGATATTATTGGGACCATATTTTTATATAGGGATTTCCAAAAACTTATAATCTTATTATCTTATCGAATTTAGTTAATTTTTACATTGCCCCGATCGGTAAAATTTATTAATTTATCATGTTTATTAATTTAGCGAGTATTAATTTATAGAGGTTCTTCTGTACTACAAATATTGTTTTACTTTGAAAACGAAATTTATTTTCAGCTTTTTTTTGACGAATTCTGTAATTTGTTTGTTTACTACATAGTTGAGTCGATAGATAACATACAAAAATAGAAGAATCATAAAACATTTAAAAATGTATGTGGGCTAGAGAATAGTGAAAACAAAAAAAAAATGAATTACTTGAATGTTGAGTTCGTACTATATTTCTTATTACACGACATTCAATTGATTTAGATTCGTAAAAGTTTAAACACATTAAAATGTAAGAGGTGATTTTCTTTTTGATGAAATGGTGTAATTGATTAATCAAAGTAAAAATATGTACAAGAGTGTTCAGCTGTGTCTTAACGGATATCTAGTAATTTGATGACTCCAAAAATAAAACAGGAAACTCAAACAAGAATAAACAAAAACAGAAGTTTGAGTAAGAGTCAATCAGAAACAAGAATATGTAATTCACTTTTACTCAGGTCCATAAAGATTTAACGGGTTTGGAGATATATGGCTCCCCGACCCTTGACCAAATCCTATTTTATCATTGGTAATTATTAAAGCATTATGCCTCATAAAATCATATATTAATTATGTTGTACAAAATTACCAATCGAAACCATTAGCTTTATACATGCGTTCGACGATGTATATACCATCAAAACTATCAGTGATAATTGACAGAGAAAAGGGCTTGGGGCTTGAGCTAAAATAATAGATGGTCAACAATCAAGAAAGAAGTTGCACAAAATGGGTCGACAACAGATCACTATTCACGCAACCCTAAACCCTTGCTCAAATCTTAGTATAGTTAAGTATATTTTAGCTAAACAATAGTTCCATATAATAATAGCACACATACTACTTTCGAAAACTTAATAAAAGTTAATTTGGTGCAATTATAACAAAGAAGAAGTTAATTTCGTGGTCTAAAAATGGTAACCTAGTGGGAGATGTAGAATCCTTAATTCTAAGGATATTATTTGAATTTTGATTTGATTACGTCTTTAATTAATTGCAATTTTGGCATAATGTTTTAGTTGGAAAGTCTTGATAAAGTGTGTGTCTGACTTTCCTTCCTTGTGATATTTTATTCACTAACGCTTTCTTTGCAAGTTGTATTGATCTATTTTCCTTATTTGAGAAAAGCAAAGAGACGTTGCAGGAAAGAGATGTTAATGCATTGGAGGTGTTTTTCTCTATAAAAAGACAGAAGACGTTTTCTTTTTTCTACACACAAGAGTGCTGTTAAAACAGAGAAATAGAAAACAGAGTGTTTGATAAATTTGTGTGAAGCTTGTGTTGCTGTTGAGTTTGGGGAGAGATCACCTTGGGAAGAGATTGCTATTGGTGTAAGGAGCACAAAGCAAAGACTTCTCCAAAAAGAATGCATACATGATTAAGGGGGAGTAAAATGAGTTTACTTGTTAACTTTAGTTCATGTTCTTAGATAGATGTATTAGAATTGTGTTGAATTTCTAAGTCTATCTTGTACTTCTTAAAGTGATCTAATAAACTCTTGTTGCAGCCGAGGACTAGTGGTTGGTTTGAAAGAGAACCAACCGATACCTCGTTAAATCTCGTGTCCTCTCATTATTGCTTTATTGTTTAAATCGTTTCCGCTATTTATTTATTACTAGAAAGCTGCCCACGCGATGTGTGGGTTATATATTTAATATTAATTCTAGATAATAATGAAATTTGTATTAAAGTAATACGTTCGATTATTAATATAGTTTTTTGAAAAGAATTTTTTAAAATATTAACTTTTATGTTCTTTTTCGAAGTAATTTTGTGAATTGCTAAAAAATAATTTTTTTTCTTTTTTTATTCAAGATGGTATGACATAAGTATATACCACTACTTTTTCTTCATTTACATAAAATATTTTATTGTGGAGATATATATATCATACCTAATCGTAGAGTCTCTTGTTTGCTGCTTCATGATCTTTGGATCGAGAAAACGGCCAAAATCAACTCCAACTATTTCTATGCGGCTTTTTTCATCCCAAACTCTGACCCCCGGAACTAATCAACCTGAACTCATACAATTTAAAAAAAAACAAACCTAAACTATCTAACCGTTATCAAATTTCAACACAGTTTTTTTTTTGTATTTGTTAATGTCGATTAGAATTGTTAAGTCGTAATTATAAGTTCTTTTGTATCTGAATCATTCCTTTTATTCAATTGGCTAAAGGTTAAATAATTCAAGTTTGTTACATTATTTAATAACAGGTATATGTTAAAATTGGCTACATAGTTCAGGTTTGTTATTTGACATTTATGTGGTTTCGAGTTGATAATTGGGGTTGATATTGGCCGTTTTCCCTCGTTGGATCTCATCAGAAGGTAGATCTTCCCGATCTCATGAATTTTCCTCGACAAGAAGGTTTAGATATTATATCCATATAATCCATAATAAAATTAGGAGATCAAAGGTAAAACATATTCATATTTATTATTATTTTTTGCTAAATTTTATCTATATATGTTAAACATTTAAGAAAATTTTAAATAATTTGTGATAATGATTAAATTTAATAAAATAGCAAGGTGGTCCAAATGAGCAAAAACATATTTTATATATGTTAATCTGGGTTTTTCACATCTCTCTCTCTCGCTTCCGACTCAGCACAACTAGAAATGTCATCGGAACATATTTTATATATCTTAATGTCATCGGAACTTCAACACAAGAAGCTTCATGGGATTCTCTTCGATATCCTGAATTTATCTTCTACCTTTGATGTTATTTCGTTTAGTTTCATTCCCCGTTTCCAGAACTCAGATGCCGATTCATTGGCAAAACAGTCTCTGGTTTCTCTTGTAATGGACCTGCCCCAAACCTAAGTTAAATTGAATCAGCCTTTGCGCAAAAAACAAATATATATGTTACACTTAATTATAATCATATTTAATTTAGGAAAATGACTTCAGATGATATAATAAAAATTTTATTTTTGAAAGTTTATATTAAAAAAAATTAGTTCAGTTTTGATATATATATATATATATATATATATATATATTTAAATTCAATTGTTTGAAAACAAAATAAATATGCCATTTTATTTGTATATATATATATATAGGTCATAAGAGTACAAAAATCTAATAAATATAATGTAATGCCGTTTATCTAAATACTTTAATGGCATGTTAGGTTTTAACTGAATTAGTCAATTATGATATTCTATGCAAATGCCCTTATCAAACATAATTCTTTTCAAAAATCCCATGAGGATAGATTAAAAAAAAACCTTTGGTGGAACTTTTTAAATTTTTTGGTTGAATTTCATTGGGTTGGTTTTATGAAAACTTTGATAAAAACAAATACAAAATTTTATATTCTTTCATATGATCTTTATTTCTTACTTAATTTGTATGATAAACTAAAAAAAAAATTGAATTCAAAACATAATCAAGTCAAATGTTATACAATATTAAAAATAAAAAAAACTATTTACTCGAGAATCGAGATATATGAAACTCAAACGTCGATCCCTCTCAAACGTTGAGTAATTATGTAAAATAAATAAAAAATGGCATAAACTATCTGATTTTCTTTTTTTGACTCATGATCCCATGAGTTTTACGTATTCAAGAACAAAATCATCTTGAAACAGCTTTACATATTCATAAATTTGA